CCTCTGTTTTGGAAAGGTACTAATAAATGAGTATAAGCATCACCTAAGAGTCTATACAAACATGTCTTGAACATTTCTCCATATCCTTTTGGCACTAACTCTTTAACTTGCTCTATAATTGGTAATATTGTTTTCTCTGGAACTGTAAGAGCCAGTAAAATATCCTCCCGGCTGTGTCTTGTGATAGATTCAAGACAGAGATAAAAGTCAAACGCAGCCCATTTTTCCATTTGGAAATTATGTAGTGAATTGCATATAGAGCGTAAAGCACATAGCGCATTTGTAATCACCTCTGTAGTTTGAGGGTGATTCATGAGTCTCATGCTGTTCACTCGTTTTATGAACTTTTTTTTCTCTGCCCCATACTTCTGTACTACCAATATATTGTCTCTAGTGATTTTGAGTGTATCACCAAAATAATTAAACTTTGAACACCATTCATTATCTTCATCAGTGTCGATACTTAATAGCACTTTTGTCCAAAGATCTCCTTTAACGTCTGTCAATGTTTCTTTTACATTGTAGCAACTTTCTCTTGACAGATGACCAATTGTGTTGAGGAATAAAATAATGAGGCAGATGTTTGTGTTGATAGCAGTCAATGAGCCAATCTAAAACTTTTCTAATTAAATCCATGACACTGTAATCTATGTGTGGAAATGTTTCGCACATCCACAAGCAAGCAGTCTTTATGAAATACGAGCAGAATTGTGTTCGTGTGTCAGAATTACTGAATATGATATAGTTTTTCTTGATTAATTTCAGAGCAAACATGCAATTAGCATATGGTTCATACATTTCAGTAATGAGCTCTCGCTCTGCTATGGAAAATGACAATCTCCATTCAATATCGGTTGACAATCTGCCACCTGGGCATCCAACAGGAACTACATGACATTCTAGACCTTTGACCTTGTCTAATAACTTTTGTGATGGCCAGTTATATAGCCTCTCTCTAGAAAAAAAATTACTAAAAGGAGGCCATGATTGACATTTCAAACAATAAACTGTGTCTATCGTTTCTGTTCTGTGTTCCACAAATTCTGATTTTAACATTCCTACCATTGAGGGACCTTGTCTCACTTGAGTCACTAAATCTGTATACAATCCATTGATTGAATTAACTTTTATGAAATCATTGGTTTTCAAGTATCCATCGTTATCAATGATATTTCTGAAGTCTTTATCCAGACAACCTTTTTCATCAACCTTAAGCTTCAAATACACTGGATTATTTGGATCTTTCTCAGCAATTACAAACTCCCTCTTTTTTTGGGCGGAGGATGTCCACAACACTGTTAGAAATAAATTACACATCATGACGTCTATATCAATGCAAGCTGCTTGAGGAAGGCCTTCATACACACTTCCGACAGCGTGCATCTCAAATGGACATCCACGTGTATTCCATAACACACGCTTAATAATTTCCTGGTCAATCCTAAGACAAGAGATGTGTGCCAATCTGCCACCCATTTTCAGTCTGATCATTTCACTGGCATATTCATCCATTGCTTTTCGTTCCATATCGACGCTTGCCATGGTTGAAATTGTTTCGCCTTCCAGTTAAAATGTGTTTTAATGTATGAATGCATACATTATAAGGTGATGGATAAATGACTCACATATGAACCAACCAACCAGTCACAAGCCAGATATCAAATCTGCATTTCTGAGTATATTCCTGAAGTTTCTCAAATGTTCATATTATAATTATATGATCATGTAAAAGACATAATGGCCTACTGTACATCGGGACAATTCAATTCAAAAAAATATTTATTCCAAATCAACATAATGATGTTACTGTAGGGCTTTGTTCCGTAACCTATGGGTCGCGACCCAATGTTTGGGTCGCAAAGAAATTTTGAAGGGTCGCCAATCGCTTCCTCAAAAAAAATAAAATCAATTAATGTAACAAACAAAAGTGCCGACAAAAGAATGCCAAAAACCCAACCCCGATGCATGCGAGTTAGTGAATACATTGCTGTTCTGTTCTGATTAACAGCCATTGGTAAAGTTTTAGACAAAAGTTGAAAAAAAAATTATCAAGACATCAGCTAGATACTTTTGACTAATAAATGACATTTGTCACAAAATGACAAAATTAATAAAGTAAGGAAGCAATGAACTCAAGGTAGTGACTAAAAGCACGCAAGCCTGAGCACAATAATAATCGTATTAATATTGGCCGAGCCTGAAGTCGAAGGGTCGTGGCTTACTGTTAAATATTTGGATTTGGGTCTTGACTAAAAGTTTAATAACATCACTGTATATTTATTATTGTCTTCAAAACCTTGAAAAACCTCAATTGACATTTTTTCCTAAAGTACTCTTTATTTTCAACTCTTTAGTTGTGGCAGTGTGTTGTTAAATGACTGACTACCAAACAATTTAATATTTAGAAACCAAAACACAAAAAACTTTTAACAGGCAAGAACTCAATGGATTTCCTATTTTTGTACTAGCAATTTTTTTTTTTTTTTTTTTTAAGTTGGGAATAAGTCAATATATCTGTGACATCAAATTCTAACCCAGCTAAAATTTTTAACAGTATAATGGATAGCCCAATAAAAGTCTGAAGAAGACTTAGTGGGGTGTTAATTGAGCTGCAGTACAGGAGACAATCTCGTACTCTTTTTGGACAAGTGTACTGCATTCATAAAAGTGTACATAAGCTCCATATATTCCATGTCAAATGTCCCCCCCCCCAGCCTTTGGACAGGCTTAGACCCCCTGTCATTTGATGCCACAACAAGGTCGTCTGATCAAAAAATAAATAACTAGAGGGCACTCTGCAAATGCATACCTCTGCCCACATTATAAAAACTCCTTTGTATAAATTTCTCACACATATTTTTCCCATGAAAAAATTGTATTTATTGCAGTGCTTTTTTTTTATTTACCTTTTTATTCATTTAATCATACATTACATTCAAAATGGAAATAAACAAAAACAATTAAATAAGTGCCCATCTTTTCAATACATAGAGTAGTATACATATCAACAACATTGAACATTTTTATAAATTCTTTAACTAGTGAAAATATAATATTTCATATTCAAAACTTGTTGTACCATTACATAATAGGTGAACTATTTATATACCAGAAGCCAGGGTAAGGCCATGACTTGAAATATTTAAATATTTATTATTTATTGAAGCTTTGAAAAAGAACATGCAGTGAAGACCAAAATGAAAAGAATTTTTCTTTATTACAGGCGGAAAAATATATCTTGTAATATCATAGTATCTAACAATTTCTCTCTTTATATTTGTTATATACGGCAATACATTCTGTTTTAAACTATTTCTATAGATAATTTCCTTTACTAAATATAATAACAACATTTATACAGTTATTATTTTTTCTATTCATTCCAAGTATTATCATTTCCTTTGAAAATTGTATTGTATTTGAAGGTTTTTATTTATCCAACTTTCCAAACCTTTCCATATCTTATATATTCTTTCACAATCCCAAAAAATGTGGTCAGTTGTTTTAGGAAATTACTTACAAAAAATACGTAATGGGGAATCAATGTACTTTAATCTATTGAGATAATTTATTGCAGTGCTGATGCCTAAATGGCTTGAACGGTAGTAAGATATTAAGTATAGAACAGACAATTAAATAAAAGATAATGAAAAAAATAATAAAGGCCATCATGGGATTCGAACGTGGGATCAGAAAACATTCTCTTAACCACTCACCCAAATTGTTTTCACTTTTATCGACTTAAAAATTTGTTTTGTTGCACTTTGACAAACCCCTAGCATAAACGCATGTCAATACATCAGACAGATAAAAAAGTATTTTGTTAGATAATGCTAACTATGCATGTCTGTCTGGGGAAGTGTAGGCAAGTGCTAAAGATGCACATATTATGTGTAAGCTATGTGTAATATGTGTAAAACTTATTATTTGAATTTATTGAGTACTTTTATTTCATATTGTATTATTTACTATTTTGTACAAGATTTAGACATTAGATTGCGAGATATACATCCTGAAAATATGTAAAATTCTACATCAGTCTTAACTCCATCTGCAAAACAATTATCATAGGCCTCATATGACAAGCCCATTAATCAGGCTTGCATACCGTCCAGGTCGCTTTTCGTCTGTCAGCCAAAATTGGCACATGGTCAATCCGCTCGGGTCGGTCAGCTTGAGTAGGCCCAGGCTAAGCAAACAACCCGGTCAAATTATCCGTTCGAGTTGGAACTGTCAGTCAGCGTAAAAAAAAGAGTTTATGTTCTTGTGGCCTGCCCTTTTAACCCTGACCCTTCAAAATGTCTTTATATTGTTGGTCATGGAATATTGTGGCCGAGTTTGACAACTTTCTGTTATCTTCTGTGCACAGTATAAATAAAATAGTTTTACATCAATTGCGACCTTGACCTTTAAACAAATTGAATTATCCTGTATCTTTAGATTGTTGATTATGGAACATTGTGACCAAAATTTTCAAATTCCTAATACAGTTGTCCACTGTAGGCTCTTATATATAATAAAAAGGTAATTTTTCCCGGATTTTGACCTTCACCTGAAACTTTGACCTTTCGAAATTTAATATCGACCTCCAGATATTTGGTCAATGAACATTGTGACCAATGTTTACAGATTTTTGATAAAAATTTTCAGCTATAGGCTGTTAGAGTATATATAAAAAAACTAAATTTTCAATAATTCCGACCTTGACCCTTCAAAATTTAATCATTTTAAGATTGTTGGTCATGAAACATTGTGACCAAACTTTACAAATTTCTGATAAAAATTGTTTTCTGTAGGCTGTTATTTGAAGTAGTTTTTCATGGATTGTGACCTTGCTCTTTGACTATAATCCTTCAAAATTTAATCACCTCAAGATGATAATTGTTACCTGTCAGCTGTTCACAGACAGACAAAGAAACAAAGAAACACACAAATATAAACAGTGGTAAAAAAAAAGCTCCTTGGCGGAGGTAATAATTATTTATTTTGATTTTTTTTAGTCTTCACCAGATCCAGATTTTCCAACTGTTAAATTTCCCAATCCAGAGGAAGGCAAGAGTGCATTGAACCTTGCCATGAAAACTGCCGAAGAAAATAATTGTAGTATAATCCTTGCGAATGACCCTGATGCTGACCGGATTGCGATGGCCGAGTGGAATAAAGTGGACCATTCTTGGAAGGTGTTTACTGGCAACGAGACGGGGGCGCTGCTTGGTTGGTGGGCTTTCCACTGTTACCAACATCAAAGGCAGAACAATCAGCAGTGTAGGTTTTAAGGATTGTTGATTCTGTCATAATGCCCTGTCAAGACTATCAAATGTAACTTGACAAGAAAAAAAACCTTTTGTATGCCCATATATAGTCATAATGTGCCCATATATAATCATAATTTATTTATTTATTTATTTCAACAATATTTTGTGAGGGTGGTCCATCCAGCCTGAGCTAATCAATTGGGACCCTCAGTACATACAATTAGAACATAAGTATAAAAATTAAACTTGATCTTTAACATAAGCAAATTAATTAAATTAAACCAGGAAAAAATTAATAATAATAATAAAAATAATAAAAATCAGAAAAAAGATATAGGCCTACAGTATATAAATTATATATAATAATGATTTAAGGGAAACATTAAAAATTAAAAAAAAATAAAAAAATAATAAATTAAAAAAAAAAAAAAAAAAAAAAAAAAAAAAAAAAAAATAAAATAAATCTAAAATAAAAAAATAAAAAAATAAATAAATAAAAAAAAAAAAAAAAAAAAAAATAAATAAATCAAAAGAATTAATGAGAAGATAATTAATTAACTAACAAAAATAGAAATATTATAAAAGATTATAAAAGATAAATAATTTACAATTTAAAACAGACCTATATATGTTCATGATGTGATGTCATCATGAATTAGGAATGGCACATGTTTTTTCAAATACAATTTGATAGTCGGGACACGGATTAAGGCATTCACTTGCATGCACATAATCTTATTTTAATGTGAGCCCATATTTATCCTTTTGCGATAAGGTTTTAACCAGGAGGCACTGTTTATTATATGACATCCATTTATTATAAAATGACCATGCAGCCAAATTTTTGGTGAGTTATGTTCCTACTTTATATTTTTCTTTCTTCATCTTCTGATAGTCTAAAATATACCTTTGAGAAAATTATTTGTACAACTAACTTATTTTTTAATTTTATGTTTTCTAAATTGTTTCATTTTTAATTTTTTTCAATTTTATTTTAAATTTTTGTTAAGGTGATTCAGGGGAGTCGGTTTATATGCTAGCAAGTACTGTATCATCAAAGATATTAAGAGCTATTGGTAAAAAAGAAGGTTTCAAGTTTGAAGTAAGTACCTCTCATTCCTCTTATTCGTTTTTGTGAATTTTGTGTTATTATTGTGTTAAGTTAAATACCAGATTTTTACAAAGGATGTCAAAGCAATTCACCTATCAGCATGTTGGTAATTAAAAATTAAATTTTATTTTTTTGTCCAATTCCAATTATTTGAAACTTGAATTGTTTGCCCCTGGGGACCCACGGCAGCTATAGTGCAGCACCAGTATTGACATATTATATATTTGCAATTTAAAAGGGTATTTGCGATTTGAACTTTTTGTCGTTTATCATGCTATGTATAATTTGGGTTTTTCATTTTCTTTTATTTTTGATATTTTTTGTTTCTGTTTAATTTTACTTCTCTTTATATTCTAAAGTTAAGCAGTACTGTGCTACTGAAAATGCTATCTAGTCAAAAGAAAGAATAAATGAATATATAACAGATAAATTGTTCCTTCATCCTACCTAACTCTTACACGAAGGTTGTTCGAGGAACAGAGCTGAGCAATCCATTTTAAACCTGAAGCTGTCTAGGTTTGAACCGGGTTCTACAGTGCAAGAGGCTGGAACATTACCTAATGGCCAAACACTCAGCTCATACTCAGATACAAATAAATGACTATAATTTTATATAATTATAATTGTACAATAACTCATGTATAATGCACATTACAGATTGAAGGTAGCTATGTTAGGTATGATTAACAGTTATAGCACAGGTAGGAGTGGCGGAGGAGGAAAAATTATTTTAATCATCATTTTAATTATTTTCACCGAGAAAATGCATATTTTTGTAAATGACATCACTATAGTTTAGGTGTAATTTTAGTTTTCATGTGCTTGTTACCCAATGTGCAGGCATCACCATTGGATACCAAGCAGTTAATCAAGAATTGCTTTAATAGATTGATTGACAAGTATTTCTATCTTCTGTGTAGGAGACCTTAACAGGATTCAAGTGGATGGGGAATCGTTCTCATCAACTGCAAGAGAAAGGACACACTGTACTTTTTGCATTTGAAGAAGCTATTGGTAAGCATCCTGTTTTTGTAGTTTATTTATGTTGTCACCTCTAATTTCGGAGGGACGATCATATGGTGCCGAAATATTTTTCACAATCAACAAGGTACTGGAACTTGGTGATACTGGGGATAACACAAACACAATAACAAAGACCAACACAATTAATTACTATATTCAACATTTAATTACATACACTCCACAATAATCGCTATAATATCGACTCATAACTATCCAATACAATTAGGTCAATCAATCAAACAATTAATTCAACTGAGTCACACTCGGCAAATCAGTGAGCGTATATCTAAACAGTATCATTACATACAAAATATTATAAATATTAATTCATAGTGATCAATATGACATGAATAATCAATTAATGCATCAAATAATCAAGCATTATAATATCATCTAAGCTTATGCACATAACTGGTCTATACATATAATATTAATTCAATACGTATATATATTTAATATCATTAACATATATTTCATTAAATGAATAACGTGGTGCAATACGATACGTGGTTGTGATGCATCACTCCAGATATGTAACGAAACAAGTTATTGTTCTTAGCTCTCATATCACTCCGGCTAATGTGCGTCAACTACCAATCACTGCTAGACGTTTTGATTACACTTAACTCCAGCTAACATGTTCCCACTGCAAGTTAATCTGGCTAAGGTGCATCCAACGCAAATCAATGTTTCTGGTTTCAATCGCACTCACTCAACTCCGGCTAATGTATACGCTCAACCACAAGTCAGCTTTCTTAGTTTTCGTTACTCTGGCAAACGTGCAACATAAATCATGTCTGATACATCAATTATAAATTAACATTTCACAAATTTAGCTGGTCTTCATAACTCGCAAGATTCAAAGATCATCAATTTACACATTCACGATCATCATCGGCAATTTATATCCTAGATCATCACATGGATTCAATGTAGATCATCATATACGATTTAGATAGTATTAAGAAATGAATGCAAGATCAAGATATGGATTCACGATCATCAATATACAAATTCAAGATCAACAAAAATGGATTTAAGATAGAAATTCACTCCAGAATGGCGCACCATTCTACTTTGACGTCTAACCTGCTTGTCACTGTGGTCTTCACATATCACAATTTCCGCAGAAACATTACCCTGCATGAGGCTTTACTCTAGCCTTACTCTACAGTCTATGGCAATACTAGTGTGTAAAGCGACCTGGACAAAGCCACGGTTTTCGTACATCATTATCGATCGCAACCAATTCAAATTCAACCAACCCCACCCGCTTTAGCACGGAATTATTATATACTACGGAGCCGATATCGCTACGCAAGACGACATCCGACGCTATAGCCATTCCTCCGCAGAGAAAGTAGCACGCAATTTGCATAAGAATATACGACCAATGAACGATAGCGTACCACGAAATTTGCATACGACAATCAAGTGAGCAATAAAGCAAGGCGTAATTAGCATATTAAAGAACAATAGGCTGAAAATGTATTACGGCGATCTTAAACCTGACATATGTGATCCATAAATTTCTAATGTAGTAGGAATTTGCTAACCCAAGGGCGATACCAGAAGTTGGAACTTGTGGGCCCGGACCCAGCTCTTAAAAACCCCTGGCGTAGCTGTCAGGGAGCAGTGGTGACAGAAGGCAGTGGCAGACGAGGAAAGTGTCACAGGGTCCAAGCCTGACAGGGACCTTAGTTGCTAGGTAAAGAAATAAATTTAATGAATAAAAAATTAAATGTATACATTTATTCAGTCATGGCGCATACATACTTTGTTCATGACCTGGTGAAATTAAGCATCCCAGCCAATAGGCCTGGTCAGCAAAGCTGCCTCGGGCCAATGGGCACTCTTGGTAGTCCAGTTTGGGAGTCGCTGTAAAAGACTTTGCTGAAAACTTTAATCAAAATCATTTTCTAGGCCAGAGACATTTGGCTTCAGGTATAAGACGGTAAATTTTTACACCATTGCTGAGCTCACCGATGATAGATGTGACGATCCATAAACTTCAACAGATTGTACTCAATGAGGAACCACTGAAATGAGGATGGGTGGTGTGGTCACCGTTTTGTGATACACTTCTACTACTCATTTTCATCATCACTATTATTGTCATCATCACTCAGTATTATCATTATCAAGAAGTATTGATGCTATAAAATTATATGCACATTGTTTATTTTTGTAGGCTTCATGTATGGTTCAAATGTGCTGGATAAAGATGGTATCAGCGCCTGTGCAATCCTGGCTGAGATGGCTGGGTACCTTGCTACACAAGGCATGACCATGAAGGAGAAGCTCTATGATATATACAAGAAGTAAGGAATATTTACCGCCGTTAAAGCTTATTCAATAATAATAATAGCGATGCCAAATATTTATGTAGCGCCAACTTGGAAACGGTTTGGCGCAGCAGGAACCGTTTGGTTTCCTAAACCTTGAGATCAGGGTTTCAATCCCTCGCTGTGCATTTGGCTTGTGTCCTTGAGCAAGGCACTTTATCTGCATTGTATAAATAGGTACCTGGTGAGGATGCCTGTTACTGTGCCAATATGGCAGAAACACTTACGAATGTTGACCCAAGGACCAGGGAAAACAGCACTTTGTAACCTCAAGGAATAGGCGCTATATAAATACTAAAATAACAAATTAATTCCAAATGAATGATAAAAGGCGTTGATGGTTATTACCCCGGGTCACTAGATAACATATAAAGTGCAACATTCTTTGATCCCCTAGGAGTATACCTAGTCATGCATGAAACTAGTACAGTCAATGCCACAATATCCTACCAGGTACCCATTTATACTCTTGCAGACCTGCCAATTCTTGGGTCATGAAAATCTGGAGGTTTCCAGAATTAACCAAAAGATGATGCAAGATACCAAAAAAGTCACATCACTACAAATCATTGGCCGTTGGTGGCGGCATTCGAATTGAAAATGGCTGCTTGTTTATTGCACTGTGAAGCGAGTAGGCGGTGAATACATTGACTAACAACGATCAAATCAATCAAATTATGCATAAATCAAAGTATTTTTGGGGTGGGGGGTGGCCTGTGAAATCAGGTGAAAATTACAATCGATTGGGAGAACTGGAGATTTGTTTAAGTATCGGGTGACACCCAACAGGATCGGTTGAGTTGGCAGGTCTGCTCTTGGGTAGAGAGTAGACAAACATAGACAAAGTACCTTGCCCAGTGATACAAGTGACTTTTAAACCCCTGACTTAAGTTCAAACTACAACTAATGCACCAACCACTTTTATTGTCAATGATTGATATATTTAGTTTTTTTTATTTTATTTTGTAGATATGGTTTCCATTACTCCATCAACTCTTACTACATCTGCCACCATCAGCCTACCATCCAGAATATGTTTGATACCATTAGAACAATGGAAAATGGAAGTGTAAGATGAAGCGTCATTAGTTTTATTTGCTCTTTTCAGTTCCTATTAATTTAAGGGAATGTTTTCATACTGTGCAACAAAATCATGGAACAGGCTTCCAAACTAAAGTAGAATTAGAATGTTAATGATTTAATGATATTCATCTGACAGTGTAATGTTTTCGTTCATTTCCGCTGCAAATAATGTTATCTTGCGTTGATCCAAATTAAATTACTTTTAATTTGGATCAATATGTTTGATTTATATGTGTGTGTCACATGCGCTGTAGATGTTGCGTGATTCAGATACAATATTTCTAAAGTATAAGAGATGATGAAGAGTAGTACAGTACGAGACAGTGTCCAATTTTATATGCCGCCGTCAAATCAGCTCAGCTTAAGCTTGCCTTTACAAGTTGAAATCAACTATATCAGTTCCTGAGCATCTTATATTATGTAACGTCAGAACCATCTCAATAGACGACCTTAGTTGCTTCACTATATATTACACGATGATTGTCTATATCCTGGTCCCCAGTCAGTCGGGAACTGAAAAATGTAAAACCCAACCGGGCTCAATACCATGCAACTATATAATCAGTACTATTGACAGAAATAACTATCATTTCATTATCATTGTTAATTTGAACTCAGGTAAGTACAATTCCAAGTTACTTAATCATTACTCACTGTTAAATTCCCAGTTTTTGTTATTCAAAATTACACCAAACCTGCATTCCATTAGCTATTTCTGGCTCCTCAGGCCATCATTATCATGCTTTACGTCCTCTCTCCAAGAGGTGTACCAATTTACTGCCTAGAGATTACCCCACCCCTTTCTTATAGTTAACACACCCCATTCTTTAGTTAAGACATTGACATATGGTCACACTTCAGTAGTATGGACTTATCACAGAGTGCCACTTAATTTTAACTAATTAATATGCAGCATAATTTACATCTGAATACAGTTCACAATGAACTTATGCATATTCATTGTTTACCAGTCATGAGCAATACTTCACTTTGCATTAACATGGTGTTTGTAACAAAAAACATTTAGAAAAACAAAATATATAAATTAATAGGTTAAAAAAGTTTTGATTTTGATAACAATTTTCTCATTTACAGTACCCGAGTGCTTGCGGTGAATTCAAGATAACAGGAACTCGAGATCTAACAACCGGCTTTGATAGTAATCAACCTGACAATAAAGCGGTAAGTTTGTTTTTGTCTTAAAACTCAAGTTCACTTGTTAATGGATTGTGCTCTCGGTGGTCTACAGGCATTGCACATTCCACCGCAGGCATTTTTTGGGGGAATCAACAGTGTTTATAAAGACTATTTCATGTTAACTGACCCAAAATAAATTTGTTTTATGTTTCTTTCCCTGTGTCCCCATTATCAAAATGCCATCCTGTTCTATTTTACTTTTTCTTATCCAAAATTCCTGTCCGTCTTGAAATTGTTCTCACCCTTAAATTTTCCACTCAAGGTTATTATGCATCTATAAAATCTAATATATTTCATCTTATGTGTTTATTGTGTCAGCAATTTCATGTACGTCTGAGTAGTTGATTGGTGAGGCTGACTTGACCTTGAACTTCAGTCTCGCTATCTTCATTTCATTAGGGAGCTTTCGGAATCACTCATGCGTGACTGTCCTACCTGGCATCCTATGTTTTCTGCATACATAGATTTGGCCAAATTGCCTTCCAGAATCAACTCGACGAGGTGACCTCAAAGTTTTCGCATGCCCAGATGACTTTTAGTGATGTCATTACGCTCTACGCCCTACCGTCGTCGTGCAAACGAAAATTCCCTATTAATGTCTTTTGGTATTTACCTAAAACACAAAATATAAAATGTCATTCAGTAGGCTTAATCATTACAGCTTAGTGCAATAAGACATGTGAGAAATATAAACACATTCTAATGTACACTGCTTTTTTCTTTAAACAGATTTTGCCAACAAGCAAGTCGAGCCAAATGATAACATTTACATTTGAAAATGGCGCTGTTGCTACGTTGAGGACAAGTGGAACTGAACCCAAAATCAAATATTACACTGAAATTTGTGCCGACCCTTCTTTAAGGTTTGTTATTATATTCTATTATATAATTATTATTATTTTAGTTATAATAATATCTGTTATGATTAGTGCCTTTCTTCTGCCACCATTGTGGGGAGAATTTACAGTCTGTAAAAGGTGTGCGGTGGGGGGGAGGTAAAAAATAAATCAGTTGTTTTTAGTTTATTATTGACCAAAAGCATGGAAGGCCTTGGACGTATGCTGAGGTGGAGAGTGCGAAGAATAACCCTTTTACCATTTAAAATTCATTAATATTGTTATGGAATTTGTTCTGCATTTGCAATTTACACACACCCCACCCCTGAAAATGAACGCAAGACTACACCAATGGATAGCAGTGTTCATGATCTTACTTTTAGGCAATAATGAGAATGTACAGTCCAGACTCACAGTGCAATGTTTATACTGTTACTGGGCATTTATAATGAACCTTTCCTTTAATTTGCAAAGCACAAGCCAAGATTACTTTGAAATGTGTGTCTGTGGTCATTTGCAGCTTTAGTCTCAAATTAGAATAATAATTATAATAGACATTTGTTAATATGGGACTACAGAAAAGTGGTCTTTCATTGGAGGTTAGTCCAGCAAACTTTGGTTGGTTGCATTTTTTTTTGCTATATTTTTAAAAAATTGGATATGATGTAGAATAGACATAGATAAATCAAAAAAGTATGTGCAACATTTTTTTTTTCATACGTAAGGGAGGTTGCCAGCTGTTTCAAAATGGCCGCGATTTTTTCCTAAAATTGTCACTAATATTGTAAATTTATGTCATTAAAATGCAGTATTCAATTGGAAATCCACTCATAACAATGACAGCAACAGTTAAATA